TGTGTAAAAAGCAAGCTTATTATATTTGTTTGAAACTGTATTGATGATACCTTTAAAATTTCAGTGATTCAAAATAAGTTTAACTATTTTCAAAATAAAATAAAGTTACTTTGGCCTGTTAAGAGAACCCAAGACACATTATAACAAATTTAGGCTTTACTGAAGAAGACAAGGTTTTGCAAATGCAGTTTATATTTTAGAATGAATAAAGGACCAGATTTGAATTTACTGTAACCACTGGCAAGTGAGTGGTTACTATAATAATGGAGACAAACTGATCCAGATTGAGAGAAAAATATTCGGAGTTAGACCAGTCAAAAGGAAGGATGTTTGTGTGTGCTGTTTCCTGCCCTCTTCCTTTCCTACTCTAAGGAGAAAAATATTGGAGGATGTGTTCCAGGTATCAGAAAGATGACGCGAGTAAAACATTTGCACTGATGTTTCCAGAGATTTGCAGAAAAATATTCTGAATGTAAGTATTAGCTAAGATATCATGGAAAATACTTCATGAAAGAATTTGAAGTTTGAAACTAAGTTAGGAAACGTCTCCATCTTACTCAATGCTTTATGTCAGTTTTACCTCAGTAACCTTGGTAGGGGGAAAGGAAGAGAATTCAGTGTTTCTTAACTTAAAAAAAGACTGGTGGTCTACAGAGTCTGGGTAGAAGGTACAACATTCTGACCAAAGAGCCAAGAAGAGATATGTGCTGAGGGTTCCAGTTCTTTAGTATCCACATTAAGGAAAGATTCTTTATTACTGACATTTTCAGGCCTCAGGAGATGTTTGTACCTATATCTCTAGTGGAAAAGGACATTGAAGTGAGTTTGTTGACAAAGCTTGCCCATATATATTATTCATAACAGTAAAATCTTGTTTTAATATACTGGAGAATGGTAATTGCTGGTTTATGAGTATATGGACCATTTCAAGTAATTTTGTATGGTTTATAGATCCACCTGTGTATTAACAGTAGTCTTAGAGCAAGTTAGTAACATGCTTCACACCTATATGAAGAGACTTTGAAGTATGTGGTTAATACAATGTAATATTTAAGTGTTAGCAAATTTCAGGTAGTTTTATATGAATATGTCATATATTGATAATCAAAATACAGTAGTTATTATGAATACAGAGGGATGATGACTGGAGATATATAGTATGTATATACATGCATACTTTTTTTTCCCAAGGTGTCCTCATGTTCAAAAACTAAAACCCATGCTAGAAAAAATGAGACTGTCTTATGATGTAAAATATCATACCCTCAGTGTCTTGCTAAAAAATGACTTCCACAATTCTAACTGTGGTTGTTATGCAAAATCACATTTCCATGTAACCACATTTTTTCAAGGATTGTTTGAAAGAGGGAACACTGCAGGATTTGGGCAAAGTTTTCAGAGGTATAAAGGGTAGAAATTATCGAGTAGTTAAACCTCTGTGTGTGTGTGTGTGTGTGTCTGTGTGTGTCTGTGTGTGTCTGTGTGAGAGAGAGAGAGAGTAGCTCAGTCGTGTCTCACTCTTTCTGACTGCATGGACTATAGCCTGCCAGGTTCCTCAGTCCATGGAATTCTCCAGGCAATAATACTGGAGTGGGTAGCCACGCCCTCTTCCAGGGGATCTTTAAATCAAACCATCTAGACTCTATTTTTAAGAAACTGCCCTTTGCTGCTGCTGCTGGTGGTAAGTCGCTTCAGTTGTGTCTGACTCTGTGCGACCCCATAGACAGCAGCCCACCAGGCTCCCCCGTCCCTGGGATTCTCCAGGCAAGAACACTGGAGTGGGTTGCCATTTCCTTCTCCAATGCATGAAAGTAAAAGTGAAAGTGAGGTCACTCAGTTGTGTCTGACTGTTAGCGACCCCATGGACTGCAGCCTACCAGGCTCCTCCATCCATGGGATTTTCCAGGCAAGAGTACTGGAGTGGGGTGCCATTGCCTTCTCCAAAACTGCCCTTTATTGTCTACCATAACAGATATTTCAATTATTATAAAGCCCATCCTTCATGATTCTAGAACCTACTTTATTTTTCTAAATTGTATAATGTACCTTTTTTTGCTTTTATCCTCTCCCCAAATTTATGCCAACTATCTTTTCCTCTAACCATTTTCTCACTACTGACCTATTTGTATCTCTTGTAGAAGCCTTAACTCAAATTTTAAGAATTCATAGGTGGTAGGAGACAGGTAAGTTTTTATACTGCTGTGAAAGCACTTCATCAGGCATTCAGAATATTACTGATACTTTCATTTTTAATATAAATAGTTATAGTATTTTTCTGATTTATCATTTATGATTTTTTATTGAAGGATAACTGACTTACAGGTGTACAATACAGTGATTCTAGATCCCCTGGAAAAGGGAATGTCAACCCACTCCAGTATTCTGGAGGAGCCTAGTGGGCTACAGTCTATGGGGTTGCAAAAGAATTGGACAAGACTTAGCAACTAAACTGCAACAACAACAATGTATGTGTGTGTGTGTGTGTGTGTGTGTGTGTGTCTATATATTTATATATGTAGTATATATTCTTTTCCAGATTCTTTTCTGGTATAGTAATTACAAAATAATGAGTATAATTTCCTATGCTATACAGTAAGTCCTTGTTGGTTATCTATTTTATATATAGTGTAGTGTATAGTAGTGCATATATATTAATTCCAACCTCCTAATTTATCTGTCTTCCCTGTTCTCCTTTGGTAACCATAAATTTGTTTTGTATGTCTGAGAGTCTCCTTTTTACAAATAAGTTCATTTGTATCTTTTTAGGTTTAATGTATAAGTGATATGATTTTTGTCTTTGTCTGACGTCACTTAGTATGTGATAATCTCTAGGTCCATCTATGTTGCTGCAAATGGCATTATTGTATTCTTTTTTATGGCTAAGTAGAAGAAAGTGAAGAAGAACTAAAGAGCCTCTTGGTGAAAGTGAAAGAGGAGAGTGAAAAAGTTGGCTTAAACCTCAACANATCACCGACTCAATGGACATGGGTTTGGGTAGACTCCGGGAGTTGGTGATGGACAGGGAGGCCTGGCGTGCTGCGGTTCATGGGGTTGCAGAGTCAGACATGACTGAGTGACTGAACTGAACTAAATACTCCATTTTATGTATATACCACATCTTTTTATCCATTCATCTGTCAATGGATATTTAGGTTTTTTCCATGTCTTGGTCATTGTAAATAGTGCTACAGTGAACACTGGGGTACGTGTATCTTTTTGAGGTATGGTTTTTTCCAGATACATCCCAGGAATGGGATATTAAGATCATATGGAAACTGTATATTTTGTTTTTTAAATTGATAATTTGGTTATGCCTTCACCATTTTATCCAAGCAAACTGTCATATAATTACCAGAGAAACTTGGTCATATTAGCCATTTCAGTCAGATTGTTCATTCCTGTTCTGGAACTGTGGTAGCCTAGGTTTGTATAGCATATTTTCTTAATGCCCATGCTGTTGGAATGAAGATGGTTCCATGGCTATGAACAGTAATTTATAAAAGCATGTAGAGCAGACAGCCAGTTTTCTTTACTTGTTTGTTCAGTTACAATAATTAATGATGAGTAAGATTTGTCACTTTTTTTCCTGAATCCTTTTTATAACAGCAGTGGATTTGTGAGCCTGATATATATATATTACCTTCTCAGAGTGCTGAACACAGAAAGTAAAATTGCCATTCCTCATGTATAGCAGCACATCTATGCCCATAGCTAATACCATGGTCATAATTAAGATTGCTAGTGAATCATACCTCTCTTTTCCATTGAGACCAGATTCAGCCCCCATTCTTTCCAGTGAGGCTTCCTTGGCATTTTTGTATATAAGTTAATACCTTGTACAGGGTCAATACATACTCACTTAAATGAAGAAGTAAATGGTTAAGTAATATTCCATTGTACATATATCATATTGCCTTTATCCATTTATCCATCAGTGGACGTTTATATAGCTTTCATGTTTGCCTATTGTGAACAAGGAGGTGCAATATCTCTTCAAAATAGTGATTTCATTTCATTTTATACAACCAGAAGTGGAATTACCAAATTATACAGCAGTTCTATTTTTTTTTAATCTTTTGAGGAACCTCCATAGTGTTGTCCGTAGTAGCTGTACTAATTAACATTCCCCCAACAGTACACAGTGTTCTTTTCTTCTTCTTCTTTTTTTTCCAAATCCTGCCTTCATGTTATTTCTTGTGTTTTTGTTTTGTTTTGTTTTTATTTCTTTGGTAATAGCCATTCTAATGAATGTGAAGTGGTATCTCATTGTGGTTTTATTTGCCCTTGCCTGATGATTAGCAATGTTGAACACCTTTTCACTTCCTTGTTGGTCATTTGTATATTTTCTTGGGAAGACATGCAGGTTGTTTGCCAGTTCTTTAACTGGATTCTTTTGCTGCCAAATTGTATGAATTCTTTGTATATTTCAGATGTTACACACTTTCAGTNTTTGCCCTTGCCTGATGATTAGCAATGTTGAACACCTTTTCACTTCCTTGTTGGTCATTTGTATATTTTCTTGGGAAGACATGCAGGTTGTTTGCCAGTTCTTTAACTGGATTCTTTTGCTGCCAAATTGTATGAATTCTTTGTATATTTCAGATGTTACACACTTTCAGTGATGTGGTTTACAAATGTTTTCTCCCATTCCATAGTTTGCCTTTTCATTTTGTTGATTATATTTTTGTTGTGCAGAACTTTTTAGTTTAATTCACCATTTAATCTCCAGTATCACAAGCATATTTCAGTAAGCATGAAGACTACAGTCTCACAATCCTGACCGAGGAAATATAATTTAGAATTAACTTCCTTTCAAATTAAGACATTCCTCTGATGTGCTGCCCAGTGGAATAAAGTTGCATTCTCTGACAGTACTTAGCCCCACCCAGCTGATCTTTTGTGTACAGTTATGTGAAGGAGACCTAATACCAAGTTACTAAAAGCATCTCTCTGCAGCCTTGCCTGTATCTTCACTTAGTTCATTTTACTTTCTGTTGCAGTCTCTCTGAGATGCGGTTGGCACTTCTATCATATAAAGGCAGCAAGATTATCTTCAAGAAAAACAGCTCTAAAATCCATCCATCCTATTGACGTCAATTGCTTAGGAAGGGAGTGAATACAGAAAACTTCGTAGAAAGTCAGCTCTGCGTGTTTTATCTCTTTTAGATTTCCAAGTGAAAACAATTACTAGAAAGCCTGGGGTTGTTGCTGATTATAAAACAGTGATTTTCCCTCTCCTGTGATTTTAAAAAATTCTGTAGTTTGAACTATCTGAATCAAAGTTTAAACTTTGATTTATATAGCTGTATAAGAATTTTGCAATGTCAACTGTGAAGTTTGAATTGGATAATCTTTCTCCTGAAGGATTCAGACATGAGCATGCGTCCAGCTCAGATTTTATTTTAACCTGCTTGACTGAACTTTCTGGTGATTCTAGTCAATGGGAACTTCAGCACTCCAATTCTGTCCCTGTTGGTAAGCTAAACTTTAGATTGATATTTTTGAGTATCTTAATTTAGATCTGTACTTTTTAAATGCCAGATGTGTAAAAAGTAAATCTTGATGTCATTTACTTTGCAGTGGTGTAACTGATGTCAGTTTTAATTTCTTGAGTTATTTTTTCCTGAAATATATAAATACTTTTATAGAAAAAAATAGAGGGTTTTCCAATAGAGTAAAATGTCAGAAAACAAATTCAATGAACTAAAAAATGTTAATGGTGAAGTAGATTTTGTTTGTCTGAACACTCAAGTCTATCATGGCTTAGTTTTGTTTGGGATGACTGATGAAATCAGGGGATTTATCCATAAACTGCAAAAAAAAAAAAAAAAGTCCTGCCATCTTTCATTCCTCTTTTTTATTTCTGTTTCCTTTTACATAATTATATCAAGAACAATATATGCTTTGCCTCTCTTTAAGAACAAGATAGTATTACTTCTGGTTTTGTTGTTTTATTTGGATTCTGTGTGAGCTGACAGTGTTAATAGAATTTAATGTGAAGGGTTTCTTTTTTGATACCTTTGGGAATCTCAGTTTTCCTTCTTGCTCTGCAATGTTGAGTAAATAATGCTAGACACTAATAGTTTGCATTCATCAAAAATTTCTGAGGGTTTCATTTGGATGAACAGCTATGAAATGTCAATAATAAATTGTTCTTTGTAGAAAAAAACTGTATAATAAATAATACTTAAATGTTATTCTAAAGGAAAACTATTATGATTTAGTTCTTTATCTTTACTCATAAAGATGACAGTGTAATATGAATATAAAAGTTAAACAAAACCTTCATCACTGTGGTTGTTACTGGACATTAATCTTTGTCCAGTGAAAAATATTTGCAGAAATAATAAACTCCATTTTGTAACCAGAGGATTATTCCAAGAGAATTTGGCACGTTTATTTATTTTGAGATGTTTAAAAAGAAGCTTTATGTGACTCCCAAACAATTGCTGATTTTTTTGTTCATAGATTCTTTGTCTTCTGTGACTTGTTTTATTATACTGTAGGCAGTTCTAAAGTCAGTAGATATAACAATCTTTTGTAAATTTTCTTTCCATTGATAGAAAAGAGGTCCCCATGTTACTGCTTTTTCTTAAATTGAGAATCTTCTTGAGCACTGAACCTACAATTTCATAAAGTGGAAAAATCAGTTCTTTATAAGTAAATGCAGCTTTATACAGGAAACTTAGACAGGAAAAGAAAATTTATAAACAAAACATTTGCCAGTTAAATCATTTTCTTTGCAAGGAATTTTATCTTATTTCATCTCTGTCATAGCACATCTGTTTGAATGGATTGAACAGTTGTCTTCATGCAGTTGAGCTGTATATCTATAGCTTAAGTGTAAACCCAGAGCCTGGAAGACACTTCCTCATTGATATCCTCNTGAGCAACTAACACTGCACTACTCCACTATACACACACAAATGTATGTATTTACATATTTAATTTCTCATGTTCAGCCCTATGGAGAGTTAGGTAATATTATTTCCATATCACATTACTAGTCAATCAACAGATATTTCCTACACCTTAAGAAATGTGTAGTGGAGTAATGGATCATTTTCTGCTGTGAGAACAGTGGTTCACATTTGACATATGTGCCAACATGCACAATAAGGAACAAATTATATGTACATAAATGCAAAGAGTGGTTTCTACTGATTTTAGATGTTTATAAAATCTACACCTCTTTAATTTTCTGTAACAATCTGTTATGCATCTATAGGTTATAAAAACTTACTTAAACCTAATTGTGTCTTTGATTATTTTGACTTTTTGGTGATTGGCTCTGCTTGATAGTTAGAGACCTGCAATTTAGGAAGCAGATCATTTGTTTATGTTGTAGTTATTGTAATATAGCAGAAAGAAGACATGACTGCTGCAGGCTGTAGCAAACCTGGATGCAATTTTAAAGGATGTCTTCTTCCCTTGTCTATAGTGTCTGCCTGTGTGGATGTCTAGTTCTCAATTAGATTGACTTGCTGCTCTGTCTTTACATCTGTTTTCTATATCCTTGATGCTTCTGAATGTTTGCTTTTTTGCCAGCTCCTCAGGGCCTCTTACTATTTCTATTTTTCACGAACTGTTTTTCTAGTTTCAAATTAACCTGTTGCTTTATGATGCGGACACAACATTCCTTTAGTATTGTACCTCGGTACAATTAGATAATAACCTCTTAACATAAAATCGTATGTTATTGAAAAAAAGTTGTGTCAGTTATCCCAATTATGTGAAAGCAAACCAGTAAACATCCATTTGGACCAATGGGCTGCATATTGAAACAATGCTTATATAATTCACATAAGTACTGATACAAATAGTTTATAGTGGTGGTAAGTATACAGTGCTAATTCTGAAGAGTTGAAGATCATTTTGTTCATCTATTATTCCTCACCAAAACCAGGTATGTCGCACTGGTAATCATGTAACTTCCAGTGTGATAAAGTAACATTTTGATCAATGTGATCTATAATTCACTTAAAGGCCAGTAGCATAAAATACATTTCAGTGGTTGAAAGATTTTGGCCATTATAGATAGTAAAACTTTTTTCTAGAGTTTCATACAATGCAGTCTAATATATTCAAGAATATATGTGATTCAACTTTGAAGAAGTTTGTTAATTTTATTTAATCTAGACTGTGCATGTTTATTAGACCCAAAACACTTTTACATAGAACATTTCCAACATCCTGCAAGATTTGCTTTGAAGATTTAAAAATACATTATGTAACTAATGAAATAATGGGAACTCTAATAAAAAATCAGGATAGGGTCCCACTAAGTCACCTCAAAGTATGCCACCTTAGACAAGGTTTTAACATGGCTTCTGGATGATTTTCTTAATCTATACAATATCTAGAATAGATTAGTTGATCTTGAAGGCCACTGATAATTATAAAAAAGCTTAATAAAAACAGATTTAGAACATTTCCAATACACATCATTAAGCTTGATAAAGCCAGTAATATAAAAATAGGCAAAGATAAAGTGTATATTTATATGTAAGCTGTAACAGTGAGTGTCAGCATGTGTAATGAACTTCATAATTTTCAGAGCTCTTTTACATTTGAATTTTACAACTACTCTGTAGATGAAGTCATTTTATTATTCCCATTTTACATATAAAGAAAGTGCATATCTATCAGTGAAATTTTAGTAAGTGGCAAACCAAGGACTTAAATCCAGGCTTTTTCCAATTCCACATGTTATTGCCACTATGCTACTACAAGTATAAGTACCACTATTGCTGCTATGATTATAATGAAAAATATGAAAAACAACAGTATTTACTATGTTAATTGCTTTCCAGACACTTCCAATCTCATTTTATTCTTCCAATACTGTTCAGAAGAATGGAGAGATTCAATAGTATTGTAAACACCTATCATATTTCAAATGTAGCTTTTCAATTAAGAATGGTTGAGCTGGTATCTTTGCAAGAAAAAATATGTTAAGAAAAAATTTGTTAAGCTAGGAATGACTACTTTGCCTACAGAAATTAACTGTTAACATGCTGGTTTTAAATAATTAGTATGTTCATTTCAAATGTGTTTTATATATTTGGTGAAGCACAGAATCTTTTAATAGTATTAATCATTTTAAATCATTTTTTCCTGTCTAAATTAGGAAGCTTATTCAATTCTAATGATTTCTGGTAAACTAATCCTAACTTTTGACCAACTATCATTAAATACTAGAAGCTGACATGATTGCTATACTTTAAAAAATTGCCTTTGAGTTATTTTCATAAGAGACTTGCTTCCTTCTCTAAATTTTTATTTTTAAAAAATTCAGATATCTTAGCAAGGTGCTACCTGGTGTATTGTGCATTTACAGTAACATTTTGAAGCAAACAAACATCCTTTCTGCTTTCTTTTGTTTATAGCTGAGGATTAATTTGAAGTGATTTATTCAGTCATACTGATACTTAATACCAAAGATGAAAATGAGAAGCTGGGTCTCATGATTTCTCATCTGTTGAATTTCACACTAAAGTAGTTATCTTCCCTCAAAGATTTCTTAGTATCATGTCTCCCTGATACCAAGTGAAAATAAATCTACTCTACTGAAGTATAACTGAGTCATAAAACAATTAATTGTGCTTTCTTTAGAAAGCAGATTTTAAGGTCTCATATGATCTCAAACAAATGCTGTATTTTCAAGAGCATTGCACCATTCAGTAGTAGTCAGAGGAGTAAACATAAACCCATGATAAATTTTACACAGTATCCCCATCAGACCACATAATCACATACACAGGCACACATGTACATACACATTCAGTCACTGTGTTTTTTAGAGAATTTTACTGTTATTTTTTCAGAAGTGTTCTGGAACTCAGAAATGACTGACCACTCTGCTGAAATTCTAGTTGTGCTAAGCATAAAGACAATCTTTTTATCATCATGGGTGGTTTGGGCTTTTATCAAATGGGCTTTTAAATGATTATTTTTTTGTCTCAAAAAATTAAGAGCATGACTACTAAGGATATTCAAGGGAATCCAAAGAATAGAGTCTGTGTTCTCTAACCTTGGGGTATGAGGATGAGCATCCAACTAATGTCAGCCCAGAAGACTATCTCTGATCAAAAAGTAGAAGACAGGCCACTCTACAAAAACAGTTTTGTTCAGTTAGAAGTAGTTAGAGGTGCTAACTTTTTTGAGATGCTTAGAACTATGACCAGCTGCCACATGACTAATTATAGTTATACAAACATCACCAACTGTTCATTTTTATTAAATGTCTGCTCTGTGTCCAACTCTCTGCCAGTCTCTGTGAGAACTGTACTTGGAAGGCCCAATGTCTGCTCTAAATTGTGCTCTCTAAATCTGGTTATGAAAAAGCCATATGTTTGATTGAAACAGGTTACTGTCTCATCCTGCCGGTGTCATTCAGGGCAGGAACCTATGAACTGGGAGGACAGTGCTTTTAGAGAGGTAGTTCTTAAAGCCAAAGTGTAGCCCACAGAGCACTCGCGTTAGAATCTCGTAATACGCAAATATTCTTGGATCCCATCCCAGGCTCATTACATGTACACTCTGTGCTTATAATACAGAAATCTAGATTTTAGAACCTTCTCATATTACAACTCTATACACCAAAGGTTGAGAACCAATGTTTTTGTCAATGGTAAAGAGAGTTCTATTGGCAAAGGCCCCTTTTGGTGACCACTATGTTATGGCATTTTTTTCCCAGATAATTTCTGATCATAATGATTTGCAATCAACTAGAACTCTTTTGTCAGCAACTTTTGTTTCATGGCTGTTGATCCATTTATATACTTGCCAAAGTGTCTTCCTATTTTTCTTACACCTACACATCACCCTCAGATAAATTCAGATTCACATCCTTCTAAAAAGTCCTTCTTCTCATCTTTTATATAAAATATTTCATTTTCTCTATGTTGGAGGTTCATTATACCCATTTCTATGGCATTGATTTCAATGTAAAGTGTTTACTTTTTGCATTTAATCTTGCATTTAGATGGGTGTAGCTTTCAATGTAATTTTGTCAAATAGAGAATAAACTTCTACAGGATAAGAGACATGTTGTATTTCTCTTCTCTCAAGAGGGACCAACAAAGAGTTCTGTGAAAAGAAGGACCTGCATTACTTATTCC